AATGGTTTTTCAGATTTGTCTTTTACTAAAACAAAAAAAAAGAGAAAAACTCAATCTTCAAAATTTTTCGAATAAATTTCAAAGAATTTACCATCATTTGAATGACGTTGTTTAAATAAAAAACGAACATGATATTGACGCATATCTTCTGCACTGATAGAAAATGGAATAGCAATCTTAAATAAATATAATTTTTCTAAACAAGATTATTTGTTAATATGAATTATATCATACTCGAAATGTTTCATTCCATTTTGGTTTATCAGTTTTTATGCAAACAATTGAACGATGAAAAAGATCAGTTGTACTATTCACACCAACATTTAATAAACCCTTGAAAACAAAAGAAAAAGAAACAGAATTACAAATGTCAATAGACTGAACTAATTAATTTTATAGTATCTAATGATCCTTTTTTTGTACAACGATATTGACTGAGTCTATGTATAGCAGAGATATCAATAGTAGCAGCGCTGTCATCAGCTTCGTTTTATAAGGAGGTTGTGAATTTGCATGAATTAGCACCTATTCATTAAATTATTGTTCACAGTTTCTTATTCGACTAACAAGAGATGTGAAAATATGAAGATAAGCGAAGGCTTATCATCATCTTCTTTTGATTTGATGAATCATGACTGAACTGAAATGGGACCGAAAACGAGGTAGGACCGATTTGGGGGCAGTCTCATAGAATCTATCGGATCCAGGACCAACTCGACTGGTGCTACTATCCTATGAAAAATTAAAAATTGAAATCAATTAATTAAATGTTTAAATTGAATCTAATAAAATTTCATAGTCATCTATAATAGTTTAGCCATTGTTAAAAAAAGCATCTGATATGGAAAGAAAAAAAAAAAGTCAGAACGTAAATTTTGTTTAACCTACTGGAATTGGATTTTCATTTTCATCACAAAGTTCAGCTGTATATTCATAATTTCCACTTTTAGCAAATTCTGCTCCATAAACAGTAACATAAATATCATTTCGAAGATCATCAGCATTGATTACTTCAGGAAAATCAAGTTTTCGACATACACATACATCACCATGTAATAAATGTGGATAATCATTTTTTAACTATATAAAAAAATATAATTATAATTATCTAACAGTAAAACAAAAGAGAACTGTTCACTTCACGAAATCCACCAGTTAAAATTTGTAATTTTAATCTATGCTTTTTAAGTAATTCCATATCATTTGATTTTGTTGTTTTTTGAAAAATAGAAACAAGAGTATCACGATCATCCCACCTATATGTATAGAAGAATCAAAGTTCTTTATTAAAAAAAATTTAGAATTATTTACATATTAAAACCAAATGGTACAATAAGTTCTTTTTCTGATGATGATGCTTTCATACGACTATGACAATCAAGTTGTTGTGACATATTAATTACTTCAAAAATAAATTTAAAAAATATAAAAACTAAAAAAAAAATACTTTAATCTTACATGCAACCATATAAGGTCGACGTAAATCATTTGTTTCATTTTTTGTCCGTTTCAAATTACTACTACTTGTATCCGACATATCTTTATTATCATTTATATACATTGTTCCTATTCGAATGACATATAAGACAAGATATTTAACCGATGGTGTATTCATGCTAGTCATAGATTTCATTGGACGTGAACGACTAATATCCGTAAAAGCAACTGTATGTTCTTGTGTACGAAGAGCTTCTCTATCTCGAATAACAAATGTTTCACTTAAATAAGAAAAACAAAAATATACATTAATGGACAAAAGTCTCCACCCCAGTTGATCTCGATCACCATATGTGCGAGAAGTCTGAGAATCTGTGTAGATGAACTTCACCAAGAATGCTCTTTTTCACTAAAAATGTAACTAATTCTTGATATTTTTACATGTATCTAAAGTTCCATCTATGGTCTTTCTTTATTCAAAAACGAAATTTATTTGCTCGAATATTGATGTTGCTAGATCCTGGCAACTAAAAAGATTATCATCTATGTATATTTCATTTCCCTTTAGTGCAAGATTCACTTCTGAAACTTGTAGGTAATCATGCTTAACTATAGAAAAAAATTCTCAAAAAGGCTGAACTTGTTTCAATGAACTATCACTGAGTTATTGATCTCTAATGGGTAGGAGATGCTTTCTCTCCACAACAATGAGCATAGTCTTTGAAAGGATTGATGAACTTCGATGAAATTAGTAATGTAGATAATTGGGACATAGCATTATATATTGAGGAGCCGCTTGACACAGAATACTCTTCCTTTCTAAAGTTATGAGGTTGACAACAAAAATAAGTACCATCCATCATAACTCTCTTTGTAATTCATCAATAACGGCGCCGCACGGCCAATGGCTTACATTCTTGGTGAAGTGTATGCGCACAAATTTTAGATCTCCAATACATACAATAGTCGAGATCAGCTAGGGTGGAGACTTTTGTTCACACTAGTGCTAAAATCAATTGATACCTTGGTATTAATTCAACACCACTTTCATCTGATGAATAATCATATAGAGTACACCATAATTCAATATTATCGGAAATTGTAATATCAATTTTTTCTAATGTAACTAACATTGATTGAGTACCAGAAATTTGAAAATCAGGATGTGGACGAGGTTTTTCTACCTAAATATTTTATAAAAAGTTTTGAACAAAAAAACATAGCATTCCGAATTTAAATCAATTATTTACACCATGTAATGATTTCTTTTCTATACGTAATAATGAATGTAATAAATCATGTGTACTTGTGTCGGATGGATTAGCAATATTTAAATTTTTATCACGTATAATTAGATCAAGTTGTAAAAGTCTGATAGAATAAAAAAATAAAATAAAATAAATTCACAATAAATGAAAATTTTTTCCTACCGTGTGCCTTGATCAATTAAATCAACAATTGTCTGTTTTAATTCAATTAGTTCTTCCTAATAAATATAAAATAATAAATAAAAAATGATAATCATTACAAGAAAAACCTGTGTATGAGAAAAACACATTAATCGATGTCGATGTCGTATGAGGTCTGTCATTAATTTTGATACTATATTTACTTTAACCTTTTGATCATCCTAATGAAAACAATTAAATCATTAATTTTATTGAAATTTTTATTCTACGAACTTTATAAAATTGTTCAACATGATGCGCTAAAAAAACAAAATCAATTATCAAAAAGCAGCACTTGTGTATCTCTACATACCCCACTCTCGTAAAATTCCAATAAGATCATTTGCTAGAGAATCTTCATTTGTAATACTTGTAATTCTAATTCGAATAATTAAATAAAATTTATCAAAAAAAAAACAATATTAGTAAAAAAAATATTTACTGATTATTATCAACAATCACTGGTTTTAAATGAACAAAACTTTTTGGAAAAATTCCCGATATCTGAGGTTTGTTAGCTAATGATCCAAAATACCATTCTAAAATAACAGAACACTTTTTTGAAATTATAAATTATTCTCTATTCATAATTTACCATCACATTCTTCGCGTACATGTACACTATCACCTAATAATAGAGATAGTTGATCTGGTGATGAGGCATTAAATGAACATATTGCTTGAAAGAATAAATCAATTTTAAAAAATTGAATGAATAAAGATAGACTTACCAACTCCATAATGAAAAATAGGATTAGAAAGTTTGTCTTTAAATTTTTCCCATGTATTCATCTACAAAGAAAAATATGTTAAAGAATTTAATCCAACACGATTGCTTTTTATAGTATATTTCCCAATAATAATTAAAAAAAAGTAACAAAACATTTAAAGAGAAATTGTACATAATGTTTATTTTGTCAAATAAGTTAACATTACTTTAGGAAGAGTGATTTAATTGTCAACGATTTATAAATGCAATGATTATTTTATCAGTTTATAACACCTCGTCTTTTTTTTGGAGGTTATTTTTCAGTCACTATAAGAAAAATGAAGTATTTTATGTGAATAATTATGATTCATCATATCCTATTGAAAAGAAATTAACACTCAAATAGAACAAAGTGTCTGATATGCTATTGATTAAAACCGGAATTGTATATGAAGTAATATGAAATTTAAAAAACATTTTATTTTCTCCTACATAAATATCCATTATCATAATTAACATGATTGAAGTTTTGATGATTTATAATGACCATTTATATTAACATTTCTCAACTGATTCGATTTTGTTTGCATTTTAAAGTATTGAAAACTTATGAATACTCCAAATGATTTATTCATAATGTTGCTGTTCTTATATTTTACTTTGCAGTTCTAAAATCAATAGAGTGGTTTTTTTTTCAAATGAAAATAAATTTACTAAATTTTTTTTTTACTTTTTCTTTATTGTTCTGTTGATATTACCGTCGTCTACCTTTTAGCATTTGTTTGTTAAGGTTCATTGCCAATTAAATATTACATTTCGTTGAATATGACATACAATGTAATTTGATCTATTATAACAGACGATGTAACTTAAGATGAGAATTATTTTTATTTTAAAAACAAGAATAAAAATACTTACTAATTTTGATTCATCTACAAAACTTTGAAAATGCATTAAATATAATAACTTGTAGATATGAATCATTTTTTTTATCAAAATATTTAACATGTGAATCAATTCGATTAATGTTTATCTTTTTTTTTTTATTATCTTGTATGCAAATTAAATATTCTTATTTTAATCTAATATAAAAAAAAAACAAGAAAAAAAATAAAATATATTATATATATATATTTTTTTTTTTTGGTTTTTAATCAATGATGATTTTTATCTAGATTAATTGAAAGCATTAGTTAAGTAAATATTTAGATTGATTATATTGTTATCGGATATTTAAACTGATCCAAAATAATCGACTATATTAAACATAAAATAATAATTCATTTTATAAAGAAAACATGCGATTTTTATATTTTCACACTAAGTGCAATTTCATATTTTAATGGCAACAAAAAATAAGGAATATACAGAAAAAGAAAAAGAAAAAGAAATAATTGTATGATTGTTTAGTCATAAACTGGCTTGAAATTTGAAGCCGTTGTAGCACCGATTACTAAACCACCTCGACGTGGTATTGTATTGGCTATATCTGTTGTTCCACTTGTTACAGAATCAGCTCGAGGTGTACGTGGAGTGTGCATTGGTTCATAAAGACTGTTACTACTACTACGACGAAGTTGATCACGAAGCATTGATAATTGTTGCTGACGTTCATCATGTTTGAATGTTGTTGATAATGGTTCAGCTGTAGTTATTGGTTGTAGTGCTGGTTTTGTTGATGTTCGATGACCTATTCTTGATGATGCTTGTCGACGTGCTTCTTCAATTTCCTTTAGAAAAAAAATTGTTGTTTTTTTTTTGATTGAATAAATCATAGGAAATAAATTTCATTGTCTTACTTGACGTTTACGTGAAGCACGTTCTTGTTTTGCAGCTAATTTAGCTTGTAGATCAGAATCAACAGTTGGTGTTTGTTTATTAGCAGCAAGAAATCGTGGAACATTTCGTAAGGGTGCTAAAGCACCTGGTTTTTGTGAAGAAGTGATTTCAAATGTTTCACCATAACCTAGGCGAGATTTTTGATGATGTTCGATATATAAATTATCAGTTGGTGCAGGAATTTTTGATGAACTAGGTATTTCTAAATTATAAAAGAAAGTTCTTTGTTTTTTTTATTGTTGTATCAAAAGAAAATGTTGAACTTACTTTTAATAGGTTCAGTATCTTCAATACCACTATCATTTGATCCATCTGATTTAGCGGAAGGTGATTTCTTTTTTGATTGAGACTCAATAGGTGGTAAGGCAGGTTTTTTCTTTAATGTTGGTACTTGCACGCGCGGAGTGTTATTGCTTGCTCCACAACCCATGTCTCTTTGTGTCTTATTTGTAATATAATAAATTTGAAAATGTCGATTGTTTTTGATCTTTTTTTTTCTTCGCACTCCTAACTTTCAATTTAATTGTCATGCCATAACAACGACAAACAAAACAACAACACGCGACACACAACAACTGTTGCTCTGGATGTCAAGTAATATTGCTAAAGAAAGTTTGTTTCTTTTTCTTTTCTTTTGTTTGTTCATTCTGTTTTAAAGACAGCTGAGTTACTGTTGACGCTATTGCTTGAGGAGAATACTTCTAAGATTTAACAAGAACGAAAAAAAAGGAAGGAAAGAAAAAAAAGAGGAAAGATACATCTAGTTTTGATATATTCTTTTTAAAAAAATTCATTTTTTTTGTTAAACAAGCCATCTATAAAGAACAAACATAACAATAAGAGTTACAAGCATTCCACCGAATAAAAGCCACCAATCACTTGCTGAACGTCGTTCAATTGAATGTATAACAGTTGATGATAGACCAAGCATATTTCCCATTGAAATCATTTTTTTACGAATATTTTTAAGAGTTGAACCTTGAAAATGAAGACTTTTAAGTGTTTGATGTGCTTGTTCAAGTAATCCATCAACATGTTCATGAGTTGAATCAAGTCGTTGAGAATATTCTAACGAATGATCAAGATTAATATGTGTTGCACCATTTGTATTGACATTTGTGGGTGTAAATTTACGATGAAGTAATAATTCTCGTTGTCGTTCAGCTTCATCACGTTGTTGTTTTTTTAAACTTATATTATTGAAAGCAGTCTAATGTAAAAAACAAGACAGGAAAGATTTTATAAAATATCGAATGAAGTAGCATTAAACTTCAACGTTGAAAACAATCATTAAGCTATTCAATATTACTTTTCATGTGTGTGTGTGTGTGTGCTTTCGTCAAATACTTTAAATATTTGAATTTCAACTTTTCAAGGTCGACATTTATGATCGAATGATCAAGATATAAAAATATCATGGAGGATTGGAGTACGCTATCTGTGACAGACTATAGACATGCAAATATTTATTTTGTTAATAAGAAAATGGATATTGATGCATTTAAATAGTGGAAACTAAAAACGTGTCAAAAAGCTCTTTTTTTGGGTCCTAAAAAAGTTGCTTGCGATCAAGGTTTACCGAGCTCTATTTATAGTCAAAATTGAAATTTTATGTAATTTTTACCCGTTAGCAGAACTTCTTGTGACTACTGTGTCTTTCTTACAAGTAGCTATAGCTTTAAGTCTAGATACAAGGTCGACCTGACCTAGAGCTCTTTCACTCAATCATTTGAGCTTCTGGCACTTACTAACTAATCATTTACTAGCCAAAAAGTGCGGTGTACGCTACAATGTAGTTAAAATACTATTGTACAAATAATCTGCAACCAGCGGCTGTAATGAATCGTTTAATGTGATTGATGAGTATGTACTTGAAATATTAGAAAAAAAAACTTGAAACCTTTTGGGCTCTATTAAGACAAAACGATAGTTTGCTTAGCAACTTCAAAGACAGACATAGTTCGACATGAAATAAATTTTTGTATACACTAAAGAAGTTCTAAATATGTTGTAGAAATCTATTCTTTTTATAAGGTCAATAAATATTCATTATATCATTCATAAACTAGAATAGAATATAAACAATCGAATATTTTTCACATGCGTGATTCTGATCTATTAGATGTCTGTTTAAGTTCTGATGCGACGAGCATTTCACATTATCCACAATGAAATGGGATCAATTTGTGATTCCCTATAATCGACCGAAGAAAATTAAGTCAAAATTCGAAAAAAATCAATCAAAGTAAACTTTTTTTTCTCGAAAGAAATAGCTTTTTTTTAAAATTGTCATTAATTATTGATGAATTTTTTGCAAGAGTAAGAATACATTCTAATAACGGATGAAATTTTCTATCATTCTATATTTTAAACGCTGTCAACTTCGACTAATTTTTCGAATTATGTTGAAACTCATTTTCGACTACATATTATCAATAATACTCGAACTATGATTATCATGTAAACGATTATCGAAATACATTGTTGTTAAATGTATTACTGATGAGTGATTGTCTAAAAAGAAAATTATATTCTTTCATGGAATATAGAATCTATATATGAAAATAAATGAAATATTAGTCTAACATTCCTTATTATTGTTATTTCGAGAATGTTAAATATTATATAAAGATAATTTCTTTAGAAGAATGAAGAACATGTGTTTCAGATGAATATTAGAATTAAAGTATAACAGTAATATCTAATCTATTTATTAGCAAATGATTCAAATCTGAAATATTTTCAACATAATTTCATACGTTATTAAAATGTATTCTTTGGAGAGAAAAAACAACCTATCAAATTATTTTTCTATGTATAACAATAGAGAACTCCAAGCACTTGTCAGAATCTATAATTATTATCTAAAGGGTATCTTTGAATTATTCGATATTTATTAAATAAAGAACGTACTTGATAATGTTTTATATCATATTTAATTTCATTAAGACGTAGTCTTGATTGTGGTCGTCTTTGTGCTGGTTCTTTATTAACAAGTATATCAAGTCGATCACATAATTCCATTAAACGTTGAAATTGATTATTAATATGATTAGTACAAGCTAAATCCGTTTCACGATCTTGAGCATTTTCATATGACAATAAATCATGTTTAATTTCATGAATTACAATAGATGTTTGACTAAAAGTAGATTCCATTTATAATCAATATTTTCAATAGAAATCTAAAATAATATATTTTCTTATAGAACACAATTTCTACATTGTTTTCACTTGTTTTTCTTTTCGTCAGTAAAATATACAAAAACTACGTTTTTCACAATCTAAGATACTCAGCAAAAAAAAACCCTGTAAATACCAATGCTAATGCAATCATCTAATATGTTTACAAGAAAATGAAAGTGAATAAAAAAAACAAGGTATAAGCTGTAATTTAATACTACATACAGATTTTAAGAATCAACAATCAAAAGTTAGATTCTTTCAACAATATATACATCGTACATAAAACAGCGTATATTTCAAAAGTAGTAAATGTTCTGTACATTTTTATTTTTGCTTAATACACTTGTTATTATAAATACACTATTCATGATATTTAGTATATAAATCAAAAAAACAATAGATTTTAAAATCGTGTCAACGTGTCATGATAAACACATTCGATTAGTAATTCATTGAAAACCAATAGATGTTTATATATTTACCTCACTAAGAAAAGATGACGCTAGAAGATAAATAGGGAAATTTAAAAAAAAAATAAAAAAGATTTACATGGATTATTTTTAAAAGAGAAAAAAATAAAATAAAATAAAATGTTTTATCAAAATTTTATGGTGATAATGAGCGTACTTTAATGGTTCTCTTTTGTGGACTATGTGAAACAGTTGTAAGTGGAACCAATTTTTTAGCCATTGATCTTCGTTTTGATGCAAGATATTGAGGATCTGCTGAATGATATAATGGTACTAATCGTACAGGTTTAGGCCTTACATATGCAGGAAGTGATTTGTGTCGTACAACAGTTGAACGCGGTATAATAATTCGTTCTGATGGTTCATCATTTCGTTGATGTTTTGATGCAACTAAACGCTTAGGACTTGTTCGTATATATTTTTCTGGAGGTATATCAACAAGCTGAACTTTAGATCGAGATAATCTATAAGTATTTCCATGATCATCATCATACATGTTATCGGGATCATCTACTAAATAATAAAAATCATTTTGAACATTTGTTAGAGCTATTGGTGGTAGTGGTGGTAGAACTGGTCGTGAAACAATACGTGGAACACAATTATAATATGGATAATCAACATGTGAAATACCTCGTTGATAAGCATAGTCTTGACAATATTGTGGAACACAAATATTCATATCTGCTATTGGTAATGATTCTGCAATGTCATATGGTGAACAAACATTAATTCCATGATGACAATAAGAAAAAGGATGATAATATGAATGAACATTATTGTACATGACTCTATGACGATGCATTTTTTTTTCTTTTATGTAGAATTTCTTTCACATGATTAAAAGAAACTGACAAGACTCCTGTGGTGAATCTTATTGAGGGTTATATATATATTTTTTTTTTCTTTCGTTTCTTTATTGTATACATTCAATAATAAGAAAATTTTGTTATTATGAATAGTCGTTGATAGATTTAATAATTGATGTCATTTTCTAATGGAAAAATTCTTGTGATAACTTAGGATCTTATGCAGAAAAAAATGTCCTGAAAATCGATTTTTTTTTTGTTGTTGACCTGTTCTGAACCTCTTGTGTGTCCTCACTCACAATCTAACCAGATAGTTTAAGACTAACATATCATGCGACGAAATATCCGTAGGTCGAGATATTCATAATAGTTTTTCAAGTAGTTAAAAATAGTTGCATTCAATCTTCGAAGTAGAGTACTGCGGCACAAACTTTTTGCTATCCCGAATTCTGTTTGTTCCGTTGACTGAAAGGTGGTAGCCGACTTATTGCTTTTCACTCACTTGGTTATTATAACAAATTCGTCTTCTGCTAGACGCATGCGTCACGACTCAAATCAGTTACTCGTTCTCCACATCTAACCATCATTTCGACATGAAAAAAGTTTGTCGAGATCTTGAGAATATGACAAGTGCACATTTGAAATTCGTTTTTTAAAAACATGATTCAGTTCTTAGAAGGATATAAAAATGCGGAAAACGATCATTAACAGCTAAGAATTTCCTTGTATAGTTATACATGACTTAATGTGAAAAAGGCCATCGATATTTCAGATGCATTATCTCTTAATTTGTTAACTGAGCTGAACGTAACATTTTATGGGCTCGTCCAATCAGTCGCTTTTTCTACTCGAACTTTACTCGAGCGGCAATCTGATTTTTTTCGTTTCTGTTATTTATTCAAATATTAACATATTTGTTAGAAATAAAAAACTTAAAGTGTACAACATATTTTTGATATAAGGATTGAAAAACTTGAGGATATTGGCTTTTCTTCGATATTGTTTCATTTCGAAAAATTTTCGAGATTGTCCTGCAAGATTCTATAAATATTAGTGCATCAGAATATTGGTATAACAATCAATACGACGGATGCCAAAATTATTCAACAAGGTTCATTTTCGATTTTTTTTTTCGTTGTCGTAAGCGTAGAAAGCATCCAAATAGTGATTCGAATAAAGTTTTTTTTAGCTAAGATACAGCAATCTTACCAACGCTTTTAAATTCATATTTCAGCTAAGAAAATGTTGCAGAAAACTTGGAGACATCCCATTTTGTCAAGAACTATTTACTCGATCGTTCTTTATAGTCTAAATAAAATTATATACAAGTGTTCTAGGCGTTGAAAAACTAGGACTCGGATTTTCTGGAGTTTCGTATCTTTGAGAATCTGATAATAATTTTTATTTCCTTATATTCTTATTGAAAATGATTTTCTCTATTCGAATCACTATTTGGATTCTTTTTAGTGTTTACAACAGCGGAACAAAAATTGAAAATAAATCTTGTTGAATAATTTTGATACTCATTGTATAATACAAATTAAAAAAGAATAATAGCAGTAATAATCGAAAAAGGTTCATATTCATATCTCGTAATTTATGAGACAGCTGAATCGATAAGTTTTTTTTTCTTTCAGCTAATGATAATATAAATTTCCTCAAGGAATACAAGAGTCTAATAAACACTATCCAATGTAATTAATCTCTTGTGATTGCTATTACAAAATATCTTATAAAGATATTGCTGATTGTTTTCAAAAGATCATTATAAATTCGAAATCAGTATCATTTAAAAATTCAGAATTAATGATGATTACGATTAATTCTAAATTAACATTTTTTTTTAAAATTCATTTACCATACTGTTTTTCCTGTTGTGCAATATTCGCCATGAATACAAAGATTAATCATTAAAATATATATTAAAAAAATAATCTCAAGATATTATGATGAAAATTTTTAATCGATTTTCATATCGTGTCACAAATTTTTTTTCTTTTTAATTCAAATTAAATTTTTAAATTTTTGAACAATTATTAAAATTTCATTTGTTTGCTTTAAAAATGAATAAAAAAATTCAATGACTAATCATTATCTGAATGGTTCATTTCAAACCAATTGTTGAACAACTAACGAAGGCATTAGTTCTTTAATTTCATTATGGCTTGTGAAATTTTTTTTTTTATTGGAAATTTGTCATAGAGAAAATATTTTATCATCCTACACAATTATATTTAACATTACCATATAAAGCTTTATGACGGATAATTTAAATAACTAAAACAACATCTGCTGTTATTGTTTTATTCGTTCGTTTTTTTTCCTCTCTCTCTCTCTTCTCTCGTCTGATTCACATATCTCCTTATTTGGTCATTATAAAATGGCCTGGTCTTCTCTCTTGCATCGAAAATTAAACCGAACACAGTAGAAAGAACAAAAAAAAAGCGAGAAAAATCATGAGTAATATATTTGTTCTCTTGAGTCTTGTTTTTCTACTTGCTATCAGCCCTATAATTCAACAAACAAGTGGGTATAAAGATAGGCAGGTTGTGTTATGTATTTCTCTTCATTTACTCGGCTTTTTTTTTTCGTTTGTTCGTGGTTGTTACCTTATCTTATTCGGTATTTTACTTGTTTATTTTTGATCGTTGTAACTAACGTTCGTTCATCGTTCTTCGAGTTCATCGACATCTACATTCTTTTTTTTTGTGTTAACATTTAGTCAATACTATCGGCAATATGTCTGGTTCGGTAAGTGATCTTTTCTATTTTCTTCTTCCTTTTGCTAGAATGTCTATTGACATAAGAGAAAATGACTGTGCGTAGTATATTCAACATGCATATGGATTACGCCCTGTTCTTGATGATGAATGATAATTGTTGTCAGCTTCTACGTGTGCGCGAAACATGAGACAAGATAAATGCACACTGTCATGGCTACCTCCATCGTGATTCATCCATACAAACAATGATACATTCTATGGAATTGTTTTCGTGTGCACGCTGAGAAAAGAAAAGATCGATAGAAGAGAAACGACGAAAGAAAAGTCAGTAGAGACGATCCAAAATAACGTATCATCATCAGCAGCTGTAAAATTCCACTTTTTTTTTCTTTTCGTCTTCGACTAAAATAGATATATACACATAACTATATTTATCTCTGTAATCATTTATAATGGTAAGAAAACACGTGGAAGATTTCTTTTACAGAACTTGGTTTTTTTTTGTTTTTAATTATTTAAATATATTTGATTACTAATTTTGTTTTAAAGGCATCTGGTGTTAAAGTTGATAATACTGTAATTGAAAAATTTCATGATTTTAAAATTAAGAAAAACACTGGCTATCTAGTACTTGGTTTCAGTGATGATATATCAAAAATTGTTGTAATAAATGAAGGTGTTAATAAAGTACCACCAAATGCATCTGCAACTGAAAAAAGTATAAAAAAATTAAATATTATTTTTTAATTAAGTTTTTTACATTTGATTATTTAGATCAAAAATGGGCTGAAATGCTTGATGCATTACCTGCAAATGATGTACGATATGCAATAATTGATATTTTTTATGATACAAAAGAAGGTTCACGTACAGAAATCTTCTTTATTGCATGGTAAAATTTTTTTATAATTTTTTTAATTAAATTAATTTTATTTTTTGAATTTAGGGCACCAGATACAGCAGCTATTAAACGTAAAATGTTATGTGCATCGAGTAAAGATGCTTTAAAAAATGCACTTCAAGGTATTCGCAATCATATTCAAGCAACATGCAAGGCTGATCTTGATTTGGATGCAATTATTAGTGAAAAAGTAAAATCAAAATAGAAATAAATATATATGTTCACTGATAAACATTCTTTATTCAATGCTTTTTTTCTTTTTTTTTGTGTGTGTATGTTGATCACCGTTTAAAAAACGTAATATAAAAAAAAAACTAAACAAACTAACAAAACATTTTGTGTGGCTATTCTTCTTCCTCGTTTTCTTTTTCTTCTTTCGTTACTATATCTGGTCGATCATCTATTGTTGTTCTTCATCATCACTTTTTTTTTATAACAAAATATTACATCATAAAACACACACATATAACATAATATGTATGACTTTCTTTTAATATGAATGATTCAACAAGAAGTTTGTTAGTTGCCTTTGTGCAATACGCTTGTTCTTTTTCTTCTTCGCTTAGTTTACTTCATATTTCTTTTTTTTTTGTCATTCATATCCATCGAATGTAATTTTTTTTTTTATGTGCTTTATGTGGCAATAAGACACAAAGACGCAATTGTTTTCTTTTTTTTTTCCTCTTTTTTGATTTGCAAGAATGGATTAATGAATGTAATAGAGGACATCTAAGTGTGAATATGAAAAGAATACATGATGCTATGAAATTCATTTGACCATGAGCTATTTTCTTTGTTCAAAGATTTGTTAAATGTATTTAGTATGGTTCAATGAGATTAAAAGCTTTTTTTTTTAATTTCTCGTTCATTGATTAGAAATGATGAAAATGATATTTGTATATTAATGAAGTTGACAAATGTTATGCATGAATATTCGAATTGTAAATAACAAAGATTTGCAATTATATAGAAGAATACTTCGTTCAATATCCGTGTAAAGCAAGAAGAAATAAATTAATTTTTGATTTTAAAAAATTACTTGTGAGAAAAGCTTTGTAAAAAATAAAAAAGAACTGTTTGTTGCTGATTAGTAATTTCGTAAAGAAGAATAGCTGAAGACAAAACAGAACAAAAAAAACCGATGCAGGTTTACTATAGTTGATTATTCGTTCGAACTGATGAATGCCCTTTTGCACCAAACGAACTTTTCTTCTATACGAAAAGTTTGTTTATGTTTTATTAGTAATTATTAAAAATACAGTTTAACTATAATATACAAGCCAATATTATTCATACAAAAAAGCATATGCAACTATCTCAATGAAAATCAAACATTAGTCAATAACATTTTGATTAAAAATAATAATGATATGAATCATGTCCAAAAACAAAGGATTAATTTTTTTTTAAGGTAAAAGAATTCTAAATTTGAATGCGACTTGAATTTATCGAAAATTTTTGAAATACATAAATGAAAAATAGTAGTACTTCAATGCCGCGACGTAACCAGAAAAAAACTTTAGCCCGGCTCGATTTTCCGATCATGTCTATGAAATAGAGCCCATCGGGTTGGTGTAAGATCCGGATCCGACGAGCTCTATTCATCTGACAAATATGTAGGCTGCACTAGTCACCAAATACAACAAATTGGAAAAAAGTATCTCTTATCTTCGTGATGATGACGCAATTTCGATTAGAAATTTCATTGAAAGTATGAAAGTACGGTTCGATCTCGTGCGGGTTCGAAAATTTTGTATCCAACAGGTTCTACTCTAGAGAGGTCTCAAGCTTCCGTCTAAATGTAACTCAATCGTTTGTATCGAGACTCAAAGCCTTTTCAATCCTCCATCTGATTCTACCGTTGTCTTAATGATTGAAAAAAATAAGGAATACCGAACATTTAGAAAAATTCAATTAGTTGTTCGAATTTTCATAAAATCCCCCGCGGACAAAAAAAATCGTCTTTTTGCATTTCATTTTTTTTGACCACATAATACACTGCATTAAAAAAAAAATATGCCGCAGGATGCAGCGTGAAAAGAACTACAATCTACAAAAGACAGCTTGTTTAATAGTTGCACTTTTCGTTTTCAAAATGGACAAAATTCGAAGGCATTAGTTTTTGACTTTTCGAAAAAAAGAAGTTTTTGGTACAATTAGCCGCACAGAATTTTGTCCATTTTAAAAACGAAAACTGCAACTATAAAACAAGCTGTCTTTTGTAGATTGTAGTTATTTTCACGCTGCATCTTGTGGTATATTTTGTTTTTTTAATGCAGTGTATTATGTGGTGAAAAAATGAAATACAAAAAGGTGGTTTTTTTTGTCGGCGGAGGGTATTGAAATAGAAGTCATTCGTCATGTACAACTATTAAGAAGCAATTAAGCTAGACTATTAACATTAAATTTGATTTTTATATTTAGATGTTTTCTTTTGTTTTGAATTTTTAAAAAGTATATAGATTGAGATATAAAAACTAACCCTGCCTTAGATAAAATATTTTATTGATTATTAGAATTCTATCAAAAAAGGAAAATTTCTTAAAAAACAAACAAACAAACAGGAAACCATAACTTTTACAGATGCACAATATTTTGGATTTCAAAGAAAAACAAACAAACAAACACACACACACACACCGGGCTACCAGCGCCAGATTGTTTTCCTTTCAATTTCTTATATAATGAAACGACAGAATAAAAATCCAAATAATATTGATTAATAAATTATGATTTGTCAATCGAATAGCATTTGAACATTTTGAAAATAATGTTTTATTTTCTCCATCATGTACAAAATAACATTTTTGTGGTCTTTCACGAAATGGTGTTGTTTTTAAACGTGTACACCATTCATCTCTTGAAAATTCTACTGGTTTACGTTTGATGATTAATTTTGGACATAATTGTGATGTTTCTTTTGGATGATTAACATAAATCATCATTAAATTACTTTTAGGAATTTTTGATATTGAATAACTTTAAAAGAAAAGAATTATTTCATTGATTTTAGATCTTTTTTTTAAAAAATCTTTTACCTAAATGATTCAGCGGTGGGTAAAGGTGGTGTTGTTGGAATTGTTGTTGAAAAATTTGTTCCATTTGATTGATTTCCATATAAATCATCAAGATTTTCCGATGTTTCTTTCGCAACATGTGTACAACTAATTGTACCATGTACAGAATTTTCACGTTCAACTTGTTCCCATGTTATTGAATTGTGTGTTGATGGTAATGGTCCTTGCCAACCTTTCCATGTTGATACATATAAATTAAATTGTTCAATACATGATTCAGGTACTCGTTCAATACTATCATCATCTTTTGTTATATTATGTCCTTTATAATCTAATATTGGACGACGAAAATCAACATGTGTTAAGAGAATATTACTAAGACTTTCTCGAACATGAGTCTTTGGTGGAGGTTCTTCGACTGTTAAATTTTTATTACCAATATTAGCTTTTTTTGCTGCATAAGTCCATTGTGGCCAAAATGTGATATCACGAACCAAAAACCTTAGATTAAAAAAAAAATAAAAGTAATCGAGATGAAAATAGATAAATTTTCATACATAGCAATATGATTAATAATATTCCATATCATGATGGATATTGTTTGAAGAATCTAAAAATAAGAAGAATTTAATTTGAAGAAAATTAATTAATATATTTATTTTATACATACACCACGAAAGAGACCACCTGAACTTTTTTCGAATCGTAATTTACGTTGTAAACAAACACCTTGAAAATCAACCATTTTCACTCTAAAGAAATAGATAGAGTTTCTTTTTTTTTTGAACTGTAGAATAAATACATCAGTAATTAGTTGTTTTTACAAAATCGGATAAAAGTCAATCACGATATTAGTTGAAATCTAATGGCTTCTTGCAATCTTCGTTTCTAAGTGTCGTGTGTAATTTGCTATAGAGTTATATTTGACTAGCAGTTCCATGATTAGAGATGTGCCGGAGCAAATTTCTTTTCTAGTGGTTCCGATCTAGAGAAAACTATTCCAGATGTCACATCCAAAAAAAATTCTTCAATATTCGTTTTTTGATTTATTGAATCGACGAACTAGTACTTTTTTTTGGATCATCTCTCTTGAATTATGTTCTAATTTATAAGATAATTCGCTTAAAACCATAGAGTATTCAAATATAATCTTTAATTTCGAGCGAAACAACCTTTTTTTTGCCGTAGTCCTGATCTCACACATCTCTATAACAATATTCATTGAAAAAAAAAACTAAGGTTCTTTCAATGAAGCGTCCATTTGAATAAGTCTTAAGATCAATATGGACAAAAGTCGATTCTAATTTATCTGTTAAACAAAAGCCTATAGTTTTATGCATTGTTGGTCAAGATAAATACAATGAATATGTTTAATAAAGTCTCATCAAAACTTATAGAAGTCAACAGTCCATGAAATCAAGTAATTAAAATAATTTTATGCGATAATAGAATTACAGTATATTAAATTATGGTTTAATTTCATATATAAATGAAATTTAATAGAATACGACAACTGAACTTCAAAAGAACTCACTCTTGGAATAGATTAAAGTGAATATCAACAAGTTTTTAAAATGAAATATTTATTTAATTGATTTTTTAGACATTACTTAAGTGTTTCCTCTTTTCTCAGAACAATACTTCACATTATAAATAAATTGAGAGTGATTCATAAATAACTAGATAACAAGTAAATTCAGTATCTTCAATCTGCATTAATCAATCGAGCTGATTTCGATAGAGGATTTGTCAAATCTTTTATTCACAAAGTGCTTATGAAATAGAAATTATGTAGAATCAGCACTATTGACTAAAACTATCTCAGCTATTCTTGAGGCAAAACATGTGAAATTCTTAGCGTGTATACTATTATAGACATACAGGTTGTGATATCAGACCGACTTCTTTCACTTTGAGTTGAAGAAGAGTTAGAATCTATGGCAATTTTTCTCATTATGAATTTTATAAATCAAAAAAGAAACAAATTTATGACTTGGTGAACCTATCATTATGTAGTCTTTTCATTCAGCTATTTCCTCTATAAATTTCATCAAGTTTTATTGAAGCATTCAAAAGCTCCAGATATTTTCATAATAATAGATTGATCAGTTCGTAAGCTTCTTCCCTTATTGACTTCTAAAATTCATAATGAGTAAAACTATCATATATCATAACTCCTCCTCAATTT